GTCTTGACAAATACGATTCTTATCGAATGCCATCCTGATGGATTACATTTTGACGCCTCACGTTTTGTTATTATACATTTCTTCAAATTACGGAGCTATGTTTTACAATGCGATGAAGAACGTGCCTTCAGAATTCAGTTACTATGATGAAATATATTGTTGGGGAATATATTCTGATACTTTATATTCTGACGTTGTGGGTGTTTCCTTCTCCCGCACGAAAACACGTCAGGTACCCTTGCGAGAGAAGTGTATCGACTTAGGTGACAAAAAAATTTTCTCTGCACAGGAGGTTGTCATCATTGTGAAGTCAGGTATAAATAGTGTTGTTCGTTCGTTTTATATAACATCTTCAAGGGAAAATGTTGCTCAAAGGCTATCAAAGAACCGAATTCCCTTTGAGAAATCTACCTCAAGGGAATGTGTTATGCCTCCAAATTTCACTAGTCCTATAAACAGCTATGACTCACTCAATGGTAGACCTGCTTCATTTGGCAATAACGCTTTTTTATTTCTCTTGGGTTGAATGAAGATATCGATACTTCGTTGGTGTAAAGTCATTCGGTGTGAAACAGAAACACATTTTGATTTAAAGAGGGGTTTCCACATCATTTCATGAAATGAACTGACAATTCCAGCTGGTATAGTATATCATGGAATTTCAGGTAGTGGAATGTACATGGATCATTCTCAAAAATTTATTGTACGGCAGTATAACGAAACGGTCGACTTTTCCCGCACGAAAACACGTCACGTACCCTTGCAAGGGGAGTGTACCGGCTTTGATGACAATAATATCTCTCTGCGAAGGAGGTTGTTGAGGTTTCAAAGCTGGGTATAAATAGTGTTGTTCGCTTGTTTTATATGACATGTTCAGGGACAATTGTTGCCTGAAGGCTCTCAAAGAACCGTATTCCCTTTGAGAAAACAACCTCAAGTGTATGTGTTGCACCTCCAAATTTCATGGGTCCTTCATACAGCTCTGAATTGATGCTTCATTTTGTGACAGGGAGAGAAGAAGATATCACACAGACTGATCACAGATACTCCACAACTCCTAACTCACCCATCTATAGGAATACAGACATCAAGAAGTGGTTCAAAGAGAAGGTGATTGATTCTATCATCAAGGAACTAGAGGAGTTTCAGGAGCATGACAGCAGATGGGCATTGGAAAGCATCATTAATCAGGGTATGAACATGAATAAGTTCACTCGTCAACTTGGATCCTCATACACCGAGTAACCCCCGCAAATCGAGCTGAAAAATGCTTGCATCAACGTTGAAAATGATGATAATGCATGTTTTGTGTGGGCTGTTGTCTCTGCTCTGTATCCAGTCAATATACATACCGACAGAACTTCCTCTTATCCTCACCCATCTATCGTTATCAACCTCGAAGGTATTCAGTATTCGATGACACCCAATCAAATTCCCCTTCTCGAGCAGCAGAATGCGATTTCGATGAATGTTCATATTCCCAAGCAGAATAGCAAAGATCTGATTATTCTACCTACCCACCATACTATGGATGAGAGAGAAATACATGTCATCCTGCTTATGATGCATGAGGAATTCAATGAAGCAAGAACATGAGAACACTCCTTCAGTTAGATATCACTACGTATGGATTAAAGACATGTCTAGGCTCATCTCAACCAAACTGAGCAAAGGAAATTACCGCAAATATTTTTGTGACCGCTGCTTGCACTACTTCAGGTCTCTAGCTGAACTTGATGATCACATTGGAATGTGTATGTAACTGAATGAAACTGCTATTGGAATGCCTGAAGAGAAAAACAACATTTTGAGATTCGAAAATCACAAGAATAAAAATAAAGTATCATTCATCGCTAAATCTGTTTTGAAGAGAACGAGGAACCCTAGAAAGCCTCAGCATCATGTTTCTGCTCCTGTTGGATATAACCTCAAGTGTTCTTATGACAATTCTCTTTCTTTTTATCGTTCCTATCGAGGAGAAGACTGCATGGAATGGTTCGCCTATAAAATGGAGCACTTAGCAGAAGATATAAGTACCGTATTCTGGTGTCCTTATGATATTCATGACTCCAGAACAAGAAGAAGATTCTCGGAATGCTACACATTGTCACATTTGTGATTCTTTGTTCCTGCTGTTATTAGGGCTCTCGTGATTTGATTATCGACATTGTGTTCTGACCTTTGAAAGTTTCCATATGTTAATGATGAGACCCTGTCTTCAATTTCGTGGAGGTTTGTTTTGACTGTGACGTGAATTTGCCCTATATTCTTCCTGTCCCTTGAACCAGGGGTCGATATCTCATCTCTGGATGATATTATATTTCCTGTCATCTGCGTATTTTCAATTTCTTTGGCTTTGTTTCCTTCTAGGGGGTGAAATAAACTGTTAGTCAGGCATAGGAGTAGGAAAAATAATGTGGTTATTATTCGTATGATGTCTTCTGTTGCTAGCCTAGCCTCATGACCTCCGGCTTTTCTGGATGGAACTCCCTTTGTATCCCTATCTCAGGTTGGTCTGATTCATTGTTTTACTGTGCGGTGCGTCAGTTTCTTTCTGCATGTGCTTTATCAATAACAGCTCATTGTGGCTTTCACTCTTCTTTTTCACTTTATGAGCTGCTTTGATCGTTTTCCAGTCCTTTTCGAAATTCCTGAGAGTTTCCTGCCTGTACATGTGTTTGTAATCCATTTCAAACCATCCTATATAATTCTGATCTGGAGTTTTCATCATGTTAACCATACTATTAGGCGGAGATGATACCTGTATCGGTTTCTGGAAAATATTTTGTCCCGAATGTAGTGTTATATGTCCCTGTAGTAAATCTATTATAGTCCTGTTCTCTGACAAAAACCCCATCCCCAGTAGAAGTGGTACTGGTAATTTTTCGACGACTGTTGCCGTACAGGAACCACTAGAATCTCATATCTGTAAAGTTAAATTTGTTGACCCTAGTGTTGGAATTCTTGTATTTCCAGCTCCTATGAGGTACTTAGGGCATCCGTTAATTGCTTCGTCTGTTCGTACGTCTTTTCTCACCACATTCTGTTCCGCTCCAGTATCCAGGATTATGTCCACTTCCTTTTCTGTTTGCTGCTATGGTGAGAACTCTGTTTGTCTTTCCTCTTGGTGCCCCTGAAGCAGATGAGACGAAGCCGGGGTCTATTGGCGTCGTCCTTGGCCGTTTGGGTGGTTCCTCGCGTTTTCATTACATGCTGACGCGAAATGGCCTACCCTGTTACATTGGTAACATCTAGGTCGCCCGTCATTTGTTTTTGTATTCGGGACATAGTTTCTTGAACTGTCCCCGGTCTGCCACCGCGGTGGTTGTCTATTGTGTCCCTGATGCCCTCTTTCGTACTCTCTTTCTTACTTCTGAAGGGGTTGGTTTCTCGTACCGGACTGTCCGTTGTTGTACCTTCCTGTCCTCTGGTTGGGACAACGTGATTGTCGGTAGGACCAGTCGTACATTTGATCACTGTTCCTGTTCTGGGTATATGTGTGTTGCTCCATACCTGAAGGTTCCCACCTATGCAGACTACTCCCTGTCTGTGCTGAGTGGCTTGAAATATCGTTCAGTCTGAACACAATATCCTTGAATTTTCCCATTGTCATCACATCTTTTTTCAACAAGCGGTATGGTCCGTATAGGTCAGGGTTTATCCTGTTCTCAAAGAACTTCTTGAACTCCTCTGCGTTCAGTGTCGGGTCGTATTCGTAGAATAGGGCCTGTAGATCGTAGAAATATTCCTGTATTGATTCCCCTTTTTTCTGTCTTCTTTGCAACAGACGTATCTCCAAATCTCTTTTTGCATCTCCATTGTTGTATTCTATGAAGAAGGCCTCTGAAACGTCTTTTCACGTTTGCCTCTGATTTTCTACCATCAGTCTATATCGATTATACCAGTGATTAGCAGCTCCTTCAAGAAAGGACCCGAAATAGCTTAACTTCATGGAGTTGTCCCATCCATTCGCGATCGCTGTTCTCTCGTACGATTTCAGGAATGCGTCTGGTGTTCCTGTGCCTGGGTTAAATGTATGTGGGGAGATTAAATTCGGTCTTGCAGGGTTCCCGCTGGTCGAGAACGCTTCCTCTATGGTAGTATCAGTCATTGTCGAGATTAACTCTTTTTTTATTTGGTTGATAGGTGCTTTTGTATTGGGAATTTCTAGGGGATTTACCGACAGCTGGGTTTCTGTAGTGCTCAGCCTCGTTTCGAGTTCGGAGTTTTGTTTTTGAGTCTCTTTTGACTTTCCTTGAGTCGGCTCTGTTTCCTTGGACTCCTTTGGGGCTCCTACTATCGTAACTAGCACTTCTTTCGCCATATCTTTTTTTTTCCTACTGGAACCCACAGGGCTGAGTGGTGGTGATCTACTCAATAGTCCTGAACGTGCTGTTGGGAATATTTCTGTGCTCCTATGTTTTGGTATAAACAGACCTTCCTTTTCGTCCGATTCGGACCGAGTTTGACTCCTTAGACCAAGGCGTCTATCACTCATCAATATTCCTGCACACTGGCCCCCGTTTGCATATTTACGTTCCCTATACAGCTAGCGCGATAGGTCGCTCTCACAGCATAGGCATTGGAGTGCATACTGGAGCACTCCGTTTCCTAGCTGAAATGCGCTATATATGCCACCAACGACTGCTCTGTGGTGCATTAGTCAGGACTATTTACAGATTTTGTTCTCCACACTGATTTCCAGACTGAAAAAGACACAATTTGACAATGAAACGGAAGTTTGATAATGCGGAATATTCAACTATACAAAAAATATGAACAAAATATATCGTCGGACCATTAGAAATGCTTTTCAGTTTCAGATTACACTTTTTCTCTTACTGGTTATGAAGAATAGTGAACAAGGAACAAGAAGCATAAGAGGAAGCTTCGCTATCCATTTTCTTCATCTGCCTATTGAACTTCGTGACAATGGGCAATAGTGCTGGATACGATTCCACAAAGCTGCTATATTTTCTTGCGTCTTTGAATTCTCCGATTTAGACTGATCCATCAGTTTTAGTTTCGTTCACTTCAACGAAAACATTATTTTCTTCATCAGGAGTCGTCTCATCAAGGCCATTTTTCGTTTCCAACGTTATGGGTTCGCCGAAGTCTGCAGTAATCTTGTTATCTTTTTCTTCATCCATTTCTTCGAAGAAGTTGGCACCACTGATAGTATTTCCAAGTGCTAACGTAGCAAGTTCTATTTTGTCTAGAAATAAAATATTAGGAACGTTGTGCATCTGCACACCAGTATTATATTGAAGCGCACAGATGCTTGCAATATTTTCTTCCTGCCCCTTCTGGACAGTCAGATACTTCCAACTTTGTATTTATTCGGTACGGAAGTGTCTGATCTGCAGCTGGAGTAGCTGTGAACTGATCTTCAGAAACTTGCACAACACGAAGATCAAAATTTGTTATCTCTGCAGATAGCATAACGCGACAACTTTTCTTTGTAGAAGTCCTCCAGTTATGTTATTCGGCAACTTATTGCTAGCAGTGTTCTGCTGATGACAATAAACAGTAATAACACGGGGAAACGCCGATGCCCTTCGCGTATATTAGCTAGGGAACGGAGTACTCCAGAATGCACCCCAATCCCTATGCCGTGAGAGCGATCTGTCGCGCTAGCTGTATAGGGAACGTAAATATGCCCTCCGTTTAGTACCTACCTTTTACCATATGCTAGCACTATATATTGGCCCAAAACTCAGAACGACCCAAAACCTTTGCGTTTACTCATCCAGTACCGTATTTCAAGCACCTCTTTACGTTTTCCAGGATATCTTTGAATATTATTATATTATATTACAAGAATATATCCTGCAACTTCAGGGAGCCAACTAATATTTATTTCCTCAAATGGTGGGTATCCAATGTGAACTAGAAAATTCAATTCCAATTTTTTAATTTTCGATTCATTCAAATGTCAATTACAAAATTTCAACAGTCATCCAATAAACAGGATTGAAATAGATTTCTTTCTTTTAGGTTAATTGTGAAGAATTAACCCACAGGAAGGAGCATCGGCACCTCCACCATATCCCATATAGCACTCGACGTCCTGAGGACGTCCAGTTTAGGCCCGATTTAGGTCTGAACGTCCGGGACCTTTACAAGACGTACTTAAAACGTCCGTTTCTGGGCGCACTGGGTACGTACGATTACGATGTACTGGGTACGTCCAACTCTGGACTTCATCGTCTTTCAAGGGACGAGATTGAATAAAACTGTATATATAATGATAATTGAAATCATTGCACATAATTTATTCTACCCTCGATCTCTGATATCTATTCATTTAGGAACCTTGTAAACATGAACATAATACAATTCTCACAATTCTTTTTTACTAGCCGTACCTGATCACAAAACATCTATTCAGGTATTCTCTGCCATGAGCATCTAATTCTATGCAAGTATTGATGTGAATAAGGATCAATCAACATTCACACATAATATATTGTTGTATACTCTGACATATAATCAAGTCTTCTGTAGAGTAATAGGTAGAGCATCTGCACGGTAATCTGAAGGTCGTGGGATCGATCCCCGGTAGTAGCACATTATTTTTTTTTTTTGGTCAACATAATATTTTTTCAACCTATCTAGGTCTCTATGTTAACTATTTGAGTAGGAAAAAGGTGGATCAACGTTGATCCAGGTATTAATGGTCCCGTTCAGACCTGAACAGGACCTTCATCGTACGTCCTAGGGACCTCTGGTTGTGTAACATCGTATATCGCCAAAACGTCGTGAAAACGTACGCCGTACCTAAAATGGACGTTCTGGGGACGTTTCCAATGCCCGAGGTGTACGACTTGAGGACGTTTTCGGGACGGTTCTGTGCTATCTGGGATGTCGCGTACGGGGCTAATAGAGGATCGACCCCCGTCGCTTGGGACTTACTCAGTAAGGAACAGCTAATCCCTTTCCGCCTGATGGGCTGATCTCAGAAGGCTTTTATCTTATCTACTCAGGATAACCACTTTTCAGTGAATCAACCACAGGTTTTCATAAATCAGGGAATTTTATTAGTTTTTCCTGGAGAAACAAATCGGCAACAAAAATGTATATAACGCCCAGTACAACACGAAATTCTCTTACCTCAATGAAATATCCAACATGATCGGCAGTTCTCTCGAGGAGGCAACACGAAAGCTCTAATGGTCAAGAATAACCAGCAAGACAAAAAGGGCACTAACTAAAACTCAAGATGCGCGGTCTACCTAACTCAGCAGCTATCCTCACCCTCGCCTCGCGGACTAACCACTGTGCCTATCTCCGAAGATCTGCCTATCAATTCTCATGCCAGCTCAATCTCTTCCTGAATCAGCAGTTCCGCATTTCATTATCATCCAACGATGTTCTCGTTTCTAGTTTTGGCAATGACATACTTATTGGATATTTATCGTTCAATGGTGCTGACCCATATTCTCTATAGACTTGAAGGTAGCAATTTTTTGTTTATGAAAATGATTTTATAATAAGAATATTGAATATGGATTCGAAATATGAAGAATCTTGATGTTTTATTCAATTTGTTTTTCACCCGAAAAAGTGCCCTTCTTGACATATGCCATCCCCTCGAGGAAACTGGCCTCCAGTTTTATAAATTTCCATCTCTATATATGCAAAAAAAATGAGAATCTATATACCTGCAACTATACAGTGTATCCCTAGACCAGTGGGACAGTTGAATATCTCGTGAACCAATAGGAATTTTCGAAATATTATAATTCCACATCTGTAACGTGAAAATTTACCTTTTTCCTCTAATTTTCAGTTCCTAGGTGAAGTTCATTATGTATCAGGTTTTTTGATGTTAGATTTCGGTGTTAACAACTAGAGAGACACTCACACTGTATATAATGTTTTTATTCATGTATAAAAGTACATGGCACTTAAGTATTTACAATATTATTCCTCCAATGGTCCAGAGTGTGAAGTGGTCCTTCACCTGAAAATATCAAAACACTTTAGTATAGAATATTGATGAAGTTGTAGAATACTCACCAGAAATAAGCTGCTTGATTTTTCATCAGTATAGTAGGCTTAGGTTGAAGAGATGTCCTGGTGTTGACACTTCATGGTTTCACCTGGAAATAAATAAGTAGTTAGTGAATGTAAAATAGTTTCAGATGGTAAATTATTTAGGTTTGAAGAATACCCTAACAATTGGCTAGAAATTTCGCTACGTACCTTGAATTATTATGGTCTGAGATGAATTTTGAGAGTATTGATTTCATATTGTTAATCAATAACAATGATTTGTTGATATTATGTAAGTCTATTTTTGACACTGACGTCTCAAAACAGTGACAGTGCTGTCATGTCATGTCACTCACCACCGTCATACGAGTAATACCTGGACAGTATCATTAAAAGTATGCTGGCTGCGAAATCAGCGGTGTAGGTGGTTCCATTGGTTCGGGCGGAGTAGGATGACGTTGGATCTTCGATCGGAATATGTTTCTAGGTGATCCGTGGTCATATGTTTGTTGTTTTATGGATTTTCGTGCCTCGGAGTAGACAGGATAGTCTTGTAAGTGTGTAAGTAGCTATGCCTGTGGAACTGACCAACCACGGATGAGGATGCACATCACGTGATCAACGTTTCCTGCTGTCTTCAAAATTCAAGTTGCGCAGGAAATTTCAAAGTTTTTTCTGGGTAGAATTTCTAGATGTAAGATTCTAGAAGGCGCAGGAATTGCCCCTTCCTAGATTGGTGGCGTCGTTTCATCATTTCCTTCGGCCCCATCCTGGTATCATCCAAGATGCAGACCGATCACTATTTGGTAGTCTTTTCGTGTAGTGAGGCCTCTCCTGATCTCAGGGGTAAGTTTCAAACCTAATAGGGATAAAACCCTACTTCATAGTTTTGTATTCTGGTGGCTATAAATATTGGGTATTGCCGCAGATTTGTGGGCCTCGACGGATACCCCGTCGGCTACTTTGGGCAACACCTCGTGGAGTCCATTTTCGGATACGTCGTCTGATTCGACGCCGGCTAGTCCGATTGAGACTTGCAGCCCTACTTTTATGAAAAATAGGTGCATTTGCGAACGGCAGCTCTTCGTCAGTAGGCACTATGGGTTCGAGTTATCAAAATGAGTTAAAATAGCAAAATTTCAGTTATCTAGCAATCATAAGGTTTAACAAAAAAGATGGGGCGCCACTGCAACTTTTAATTCAAAAGAAACGTTACCTGGAAAGTTGAGCAACCAGATAATGAATAATATTAGTTGTTATCCCAGACTGAAAGACCTAAATTTACCTTATAGAGATGTTGTGAGTTGGAGTGTCATGTCAATAAACAAATAAAACAGTCATATACAATACCCAAAACATTTAATTTTGATGATAGGACTCATATATCATATCACATGGTTTTGACAAATATGAAAAGAATATTAGATAACTTATTTCCTGTTAAGAAATTACACTGTTGCCTGCTATTATGTGGATGAAAATATATATAAATCAATTTTATATTGTACTTGAAAACTCAATAGCTCCTGTAAGGACGTTTTATAGTCATAGCAGATTTAGAAAAATATTGAAAATGGAAGAATTCTACCAGCGCATAGTATACTATGTGGAGGGAAAGTATGTACCTTTCATGTGTGATTTCATCAATTTTTGACCTAGCTATGATTTAAAATTGGTCCATTATACACACTAGCAATAGGCATTATGAGTGAATAAAAATGAAAAATAAAAATATATTTTTATGTCAAAAACCTGTATGGTGTGTCCTACACCAGTTATCCAGAGTAGCAATAAATGGCTTCAGTGCTACCAAATGAAGCTGCTGCGGGGGAGATTGGCGGAGAGCGGGGTGCTGACTTCACATCCATGGATGTCAGATGACATTGACAGAGTTGTATTTCCACCTTGGAAATCCATCATCAGGAAGAAGCAGGGGACGATATCCAGATTCCAGAATACTATATAGCCACCAAAGGCCTTGTAGAATTAACAGATCCTGGTCGAGCAATGACTCCTGGGAAGAATAGTGCTCCTGGTAGGATAACTCCCGTTGTAGAACTTCCAGTAAAGCTCCCGGTAAAAAACTCCCGGTAGAAAACTCCCGGTGAAAAAACCCTTAAATATTTCATGAAAATGAGGTTCTGAATTTCTGGACTGCAGAGAGAAAAATCGTGGTAATAAAGCGAGACTCACCTTCTATGAAGGGTTAGGGATTGAAATGACGATGAAGGTAGGCACGTGGCTGCCTGGGTGATGAACCATGAAGATCCTGCCTCTTAAACCAAAACCAGAAGAAATCTGTAGAGTC